TGATTACTTAAATTAGAAAGATCTTCTAAAATTTTAAGTTTCGGACTATTGACCATTATAGATGTCCTGCACTGTATTAAACTTACAATTGACACGTGTAAAATTTTTTTATATTTTCTGGATGTATGAATAAAATATTCTAACAAACGTTTTATCAATTATTTAATAGTTTGCGTAGGAGTAATCGAAGTAAGCTGATCTATGAACAAAATATACTAACAAAGGTTTTATCAATCATTCAATAGTTTATATAAATTTATCCTTTATTTTAACTTATATTTAATAACATCACTATAATCATTATTGTTGTTGTTTATTGTTCTAATCATTTACATATATATTTAGCACTTGATGATGTCGAAGAAATTAGTCTAATAGATTAAATTGTGCTACTTGAGGATGTATTTAAAGGGTTGGTTTTCGACTTGGTCAAAGGACAACTCTCTTTCTAACTCTTCTCTTGACCATATCTCTTGATATAACTTCGAAACTACTTCGATATAACATAACAATAAATGAAATGATTGTTGATGAAGTAAACATGACCAATTTAAGAGACAAAGTTATTTAATAAAACAACTCAAAAAATGATTTTTTGAATGTTCTAGTAAATCCCGTTGTTGGCTCAAGTTTAATTTAGTCGTTTTCTTACGTTAATAAATATGACGAAACGTAATACAAATACAAATACAAATAATTAATAATAAATGTCTTTTATTTTTTTAAAAAAAAATTACAATTAATGTATTTAATAGAATAGCAATACTAAAATGAAATGCTATGAGCCATTCCCCAAAGAAAGTCCATAAGTGGTCTATTATCACGGTCATTGAACACTGCCCGAATTCGTGCTTCATGTACATGGTCCTGTTTTTTTTGTAAAGGTCGTGGTATTCCTCGTAAAATCGATTCTACATCGAGCTCAACTCGATTTTGTTCTTTTTGCAATTCCTTTATGATTTTGTAAACACCTAAATGTGCAGTACCTACTAAGGCACCCCATCTTCGATGCCAAGCCTCTACAAAATTTTGAGTTCATGGAAATGCATAATCGATATTATCAACGACTGACCAGAAGTCAGGTGGAAATAATGGTGGTGTTCGAATTTCATTTCCATGTCTTAATGTGTGTCTTGTTCTACCATGCACATAGTACTCTTCGAACCATTCTACGATTCCGTTAGCCTCTGGTGGAATATCATCCTTTAATTGATCAAATGCTGCAGGAATGTCATCAGGTGGCAAGAAAGCAAGTGCAGGAATGTGTCTAATTTTTAAACTTAAATTTTCGTCAGTCCCATATTGAACACTGAGTCCAGAAGCTTGTACTTTCCGGTACGGCAAAAGACCAGCAAATCCAAGCCAAAAATCAAATGCTCTGAGCCAAATGAAATAAACATCCCTTGTTTTGGACACCTTGAAATTCTCTATGAGCAGCATTGATGGCTGCTTGTTCGAAATCAGTTAAAATAAATTGTGGCCAGAGAACAACACCATTTTCATCACCAAAATCAATCAATCCCTGAAACAAATTCCTATAAAATTCTTCCGATTTTCTGGACATTAATGCATAGACAAGTGGCATTATTTGTGAATTTTCATCTCTACCAACACGTCCATGAATTGAATATAACTGTCTAAATATATTTGGAACTGTTTTAAATGTTCCATCCATAATCCAGAAAGTGGAGTGTTCCAGATATCAGACATTAGCAATGGTTGTAAAGAGCAATATTCTGTCTTCATCCAGGACAATATCTTTAACCAAAAAGTCTGATCTGCTTAGAGTCTTTGTCAAATCTTCAGGAACAATAAGTTCATTTAAAGATTCTGGTTCTACAGGAAGATCAGAACTCCTAATTCGATTAATTGTTTGACAAAGTGCATCACGAGATGGAAGGTATGGATGTGCTTTGTGAGAGATAATAGCAGATGTGGTTTGAATAATTTGTGCAGGTGTTTCATTAGTCTCTTTTCCTCTCTCTTTTAAAGTATTGACAATTCTTATAACATTGAATCGGCTTGCCTCCGCAGCATGATTATGATCTGTAAATTTTTTGAGACAATGTTGTCCTTCAACAAACGTGGTAACTGCTTGGCCTTTACATTGTAGTGCATCACGTTTTTCACAATGCCAGTAATAAGAATTGTTACAATTTTTATTTTTGCACATAATAAAACCATGAACATTAATTTTGTCTTGACCATGATTAGAAGAAACAATTTCACAAATAGTATTGTTCATTTTTAAAAAAGGTAGTATATATGTGATATGATTATGATAAAGTTATTATGATAAAAGGTTATTATGATAAAGTTATTTATTATGATAAAGTTATTATGATAAAAGGTTATTATGATAAAGTTATTTATTATGATAAAGTTATTATCGAATTAAGAAAATTTTATTCTGATGTCTTTGCGAATTATAGTTATATTTATAATGAAAAAATTGTCATGTATACCATACTCTTTCTGGATATCAAGTGATTGGTAACAATAATTGTTGATTTTAAAATTTTTTAAAACCCATCTTTGTATATACAAAGTAGGCTTTCACCAAATTCCTTTATATTTACAAATTAAAGATGCGCAAAAATTTTGAAAAAAAAGTACAATAAATTAATTGTTTGATAAATCAGATATACTTTATACTCTTTCCGAGTAGCAAGTTATTGGTAACAATAATTAATTGTTGATTTTAAAATTTTTTAAAACCCATCTTACAATAAATTAATTGTTTGATAAATCAGATATACTTTATACTCTTTCCGAGTAGCAAGTTATTGGTAACAATAATTAATTGTTGATTTTAAAATTTTTTAAAACCCATCTTTGTACAAAGTAGGTTTTCGCCAAATTCCTTTAATATTACAAATTAAAAGATGTGCAAAAATTTTGGAAAAAAGAAACACATTTCTAATTGTTTAATAAATCAGATATATTGTATACTCTTTCGAGTTAGCAAGTGATTGGTAACAATAATTAATTGTTGATTTTAAAATTTTTAAAACCCATCTTTGTACAAAGTAGGTTTTCGCCAAATTCCTTTATACAATAAACAAACACATTTCTAATTAATAAATCAGATGTATTTTATACTCTTTCGAGTTAGCAGGTGATCGGTAACAACAATCAATTTGATTTTAAAATTTTTTTAAAATTAAATACTAACCAAAATTAAAAAAATAAACAAAAAAAAAATTTTTATTATTATTGTTTTTTTAAAAAACAAGTTTATAGAGCATGCATAGTTATGATGCTAGCCAAAAATTAAAAAGTATTTATTTATTTATTTAACATGATATTATTTAAAGTATATATACTTTTGTAATTAAAGCACAAAATTCGTCTGATAGCTTTATTGTAAGGTTCCTGATCTAATATACCTACCTCTATATAAAAAAACGTTAAAAAACCCAAATCGACAAAATAGTTTGAGCTTTGAGAAACAGTTTGGGTTAGAAACCTTACTTGATTGTCAGACCCATTTAATCATACGATTTTAATAATATCAAAAACTAATTTTCAATTTAATGATTTAGCGTAACATATGCATTGCACTGTTTAGTATCTACTACTACCATTTAATTTATTTATTATTAGTATAATTTGCATTTGTATGATTGTAATTAAGAAAGAAAAATTCAGGTAAAATCAGAGTGCTAATTAGTTTGCAAGTATACGAATGATTCAAATTTATGTATCATGAAAGGAATATTACCAATTTGTCTGATCCACACACTCTACTAAAAACAATAATTATTATCAATGCTAAAATATTCAATGTCGATACTGTTGCCATCACTATCATCGTCTCATTTATCATTAGTACGATACATAAGCCGACGAATTAATTTTCGACGAAATGAACTGTCGACGAAATGAACTTTTGACAAAACAAACTTTCGACGAAATGGGTGTCGACGAAATGATTATCGACGAAGTAAACGGGACCGGTCATCTTCTAGTCAATTGATATGATTTTAACTCAAAATTTTAATATATAAATGTATAAATAAAACCATTAATAATCATTAATAAAATTTCTTTTCTTTTAACCTATATATATTACATATTAATAACATCTCCATCAGATCCTTGTAATGCATTAATAAATAAATACTTTTTAATTTAATCATTACACTTCTAAATATATATAAAAAATAGATGAAATAAAAATTAACGAAGCTAACCTTTAAAAATATTAAAAAAACCAAAGCCATTCTTGAAAAGAGTCTGTTACGCGAATTTGTTTTTGCTTGAAAATATTAAATAAATATCAATAAATTTTGTTTGATGCAATCTAGTGTTGGTTGCCAAAACTATTTTGAAGAAGCGAAAGTCAAAACTAAAATTAAAATTTATATGTCAAAACTAAATCAAAAGTCAAAGGTCAAATGTCAAAACTAGTTTCGACTTATGGCAAAACCTTTTGACTTTCGCACAGTTGCAAAACTCTCTAGTTTTGGAAACCAACATTAATGCAATCTTCTATTTCATCCAGCAATGTATATTAATATATTAATATTATTATGAAAATAATCCTTAAAAAGCAAATTTGAAGTTAATACTTTTCTATAAACAAATTATGTAATTTAAAAAAAATAAACATTTAAAGGTTGGAAATTAGAACTTAACTATTGCATTTATTATTATTATAGAACTTTATAGGACTGGTAGTCCAACTTCATGTTAAGATTATCGCTTAGTGGTATTTGTTTACCCTGGCAAAAAATACATCAAAATAAAGGTTTTTTCATATATTTGTTATTTTTTATGATTCAAGTAACAATTTGATTAAATCAGGCAAGTTTGTGTATGAAAGCGTGATTTTTTTCTTCATTTTTTCATATAAAATTCCGTGTTGATCAAAAAATTTTTATTAGTGAGTGACACTTGACCCCATGTAGATCCGCAATGTCCTGCGACTGATAAACGAGAGCAATTATGTCGTGAAATTGCAACAAAATATCTTGGGCTACCATCGAAAATACGCCAACTAGACTTCTTAAAACTCTCGAGTATCCAACTAGACTACATCTTGATATTTACTATCCAGAATTTGGATTAGTTATAGAAGTACAAGGGCAACAACATGAAAAATATATCGAATTCTTTCATAGAGATGATCCCAATAATTTTATCAAACAGCAAGAACGGGATCAACTCAAGAAAGAATTGTGCGAAGAAAACTGGATTGTCCTCAGATATGTTTGGTATTATGAAGATCCATATATAGTTATTCCAGAACATCTTCGTGAATTGGGTCTTATTGAGTAAATTTAAAACTTTAAATGCTTCAAGTGCATTATTTTTTCGCATATGCATATATATTGATTATTCCCGTAAAAAATTACAATTAATTTTTTTACAGATCACAGTACTAAATAGCTACATATGATTTAATTAATTACCGAGTTGACCACATATAAATATATCGCAAGAATAAAAGGATTATATTCATAATATACGTGGCAGTTTACTTTGCTGGCTTTTTCTCTTTTACGGAAGTTCGAAATTTATTTAGCTTTACTGTTGATTGGGAAGACTCGCTGGCTCCAGTTATTTTATCTTTTAAGGTTTTAGACTTCTTAGCAAGAATGTTTGTCATCCGTCCCACACGTTCTATAAGATACTGTTAAATTTATTAGTAAAAGCTTGATAACTTAAAGCAAAACTGATCAAAAAACAACATACCCCGTGAACCAAAAATCTTTTACATAATAGAGCAATTTCTCCCACGTCTGCATCTTTCGTTGGTAAGTCTTCCGAGGCCCAATCCCAAATACCGTACAGATCTCCGCTGATTTGAAACAGAAGATAGAACCGAATTCTCATTCCGATTACATGGAAAAACGGTATCAATATAGAAGCCATTGCTTTTTGTAGACTCCCCGGCAGAGGATTTCTCCCACTCTGCTCGATTATTTGAATCACAAGTTTGATATGTTGTGCCCTGCAGACCTTAATCACATCAACGAAGTCCGTCCTCGCCTTGTCATGATTATCCTTATGGGTTGGCCCGCTGTTTTCGCCAATGCCAGCTTCTCGAGATGAGCTCTACATATAAAGCCCTATGTTAGGATCAACTTGTTAATTTTTCAAAACCGAATAAGACGCACCCAATATAAGAAATCACATGGCTTGCCAACACGACTGTTCTGTGACCGAGCTGTTTTATCCTCACGATCAGCATCTGAATGGTTTTCGCCACTATAAGGAAAAAATGCTTAATAGTACAAATAAATGATCAACCTTCTGCAAAAAGAATGAGTCAAATTTCTTACTATGTGAATATAGTTTGCGGAGTTTTTGCACAAGGCCCAACGAGAAACATGTCGACGGTTCGTTCAGATTGACATTGCCCATGAAAACGACTGATCCATTCGTAACTATTATAATTACTTGAGTTAATTAATCTATTACAATACCATGATTAAATTTATAACAGATGTGACCAAATTATTATGTTGTAAGGAAACTTACGAGTCCTCAATGCATTTCCCGACATATATTGTAGTGTCATCATCAGCATCTACGTCTGCAAGATTATCTTGAATTATTTTTTTATCATTAACATCCTATTGCAAATTGGTTTGTTATAGAATTTATAGAGTTTGTGGGCGCTAAATCAGGATAATACGTAATTAATTTTATTCACCTGCATTTTATTAGCAAATCTTTGCAGAAGATCACGTACACCAACTATTCCACGTGCACCACATTCCTTTGCGAGAAATTGGAGGCTAACAATTTCCGACAATAATAGTGCTTCTAAAAGTGATTTAGCCGATTTACTTATTTTTTCACTCTCTTCTTGAATAGCACTTTCCGTTATATTCATCAAACGATTGATTTCGTTAGCTGAGAGGAAATTCTTGGCACGGGGAAGGTGTGGACTCGGAGACACGTTCTCTTCACGAAAGTCTAGGACACCCCACCAGAGTGGGCTACGGAAAAAAAAATAGAGCACAATGAATAAATAGGTGATTAGGCAGAACATAACTTACTTTGTATGAGCAGATTCTTTGTTGTTTTGAATAGAATTGACGGCGTTAATGGTATCAATGTATTCATCCAATGAGACATTAGACATATCTGTTCTGGTCTATGGCATATTAAAACAAATGATTAAGGAATTGCATCAGTACGAAACAATGAGACAAAAGAGATATAGAATTGAACCTAGCCTGACCTTCTTGTTATGATCTGGTGTGTGAAAATTAGAATGATCTTGAGAATTTTCCATGGGTGACTAGATGTTAGAAAAAGTAAAATTACTACACAGAAACATAAATATAATACTGAATTTTCTTAATAACTTACACAACATCGCTTCTTGGAATTTGTTACAAATGATTCTAGCTCGTTGGATAAATAGTTTCTTGCAGTTTTGGAATCTTTGACCGAATCACCTATGGTTTCATTGATGTATTCTAACTATTTACAAATCATCAGTTACTCTATGTACAATGCAGTATATAAACAATTGTAAATCACAATTTACAGACCGATCTTTTTTCGATATTGTCATTTAAACGGTTTTTCTCGATCCCGTTCCAAAAATTCTCAACACTTCGAGAAATTTTCTCCCTCTTTTATTAAAAGAAATGGATATTGGTTAGTATAAGACCGAATAGTACTTTTTAATTGCAGAATTGTCTTATGCGATTGAGATGGACCATAACACAGCACGAAGCCTGACAACCAATTAGGACGAACCCAATCTGTTGCGTTATGGCAACTAACGTGTAGTATATTCAAGGGCGCCGAGGGAAGACGAACTCCTCTCTCACCCGCTAGAACGAATCCAGCTGGCTACTCGGTGGTTGTCAATATATCACGATGTGTCCTAAGACCGGAACATATTCTAGCCCTTGAACCCAGCTGTTACTTGCGTATTGCACATCTCAAATACTTAACTTCAAAAGCGAGAAGACATGTTTGAGCTTGCTCGTTGGAAATGCTTATCAACGCGCTTCTGTACAACATATGTTCCTTATCTTTTTCATACGTAAAATTTTCGGTTCCCTCTCTATACTTGAGAAACTTTAGTAACGACCATGTCGAGTTATTTTCGAAGAAACCTAAGAAATCTTCCTGTGATAATTGCGACGTCATTTTCATAGATGCTGATTCGGATAAAAGATATAGCGCATCAGTGGTTTGGGAACGGCTTTAGTCTGTTTGCTTTACAAAAATATACATACCTAAAAGTTGAGTAAACAAAAAAAAAACAAGCACAGTCACACAGAGACCGATCAGCTTTACGAAATTTAGGCATGTCACATGACTAGTAACGGGAAATTTACCTACCAAGTCTGACAAATCTATGGTAGTAATCCTTCCTCTCCAAGATAGCCGGTCGTTATACTGATGATATAAAAAATGCATCAATGTTTATTAGTAATTACCTTCGAAAAAATGAATTTATTGAATTTGATCTTACTAGGTCAGAGGATGATCCTCTAGCAATTCGGTTAAGGTTTGATACTCCATTAGATTTGCAGAAGGAAATAGGATTGCGTCAAAAGAAAAAAAAAAAGCGAACCAGCTGATACATAGGAAAAAGGTATAAAAATTCATATGGTTAAAATTATGGAATATATATCAATAAAAAATAGCTATTAATCATCACGAAATAGCGGTGAAAATCTATTTCGGTCATGTGGGATCTACTTTTGGCATGTAAGATCTATTTCGGTATAAGAGATCTATTTCAGGCATGTGGGTTCTATTTCGGGTGTATTACAAGCATATGATTTAATTTCCCAGCTATATGGATGTATGACATTCACCATTTGAGATCATCTGGTCCAAGATAGACAAATCCGAGATGTGTGCAGATATCCTTATATCTAGATCTATACTTTTGTTATTATATTAATGAAATTAGCGGAAACCGTGACAAATTTGTCATGATCAGACTATGTATATCTGTTAACTCATAATTAAGACGTGATATAGACACGATGAAGGTACGATGAAGGTACGATGTTTTTTTTTCTTATAAAAACGTATAGAAATACCATATCTCAGTTGAACATCCGTTGAAATTAAATTTTTGTAATGTGGGCCGATCCGGAATTGCTGATCACGAGCTAGTTAAATTTCGATTCCCAATTCATTAGGTTCATTAACCGTAATATTTTGCCCAACATGAATGTTGTTTTGCGTTCGAATTATAGCACCTGTGGTACTTGCTCGCTAATGAAGCTACGAATTAATTACTTAGAACGAAATCCTTTTTCCTCTCATATACATGATTTGTAAAAGAGAAGGCGGGAATAAACCAGATATAATTCGTGTTAAGAAAAGACATCTATTTGTTGTTGTATAAAAACGATTAAGCTATTTTTTTAAACATCGAATGAGGGCCTGTGCGTCATATGAGACGTGCCAAACTTTTCGATTTCACCTATCAGATAAATGCACAAATAATTAGGATCGGCAAAGGTAACAGATCGTCCATAGTAGATAAATTTTTAATGAGCTGACCGTGTAATTCGAAAAAACCAATGATTATTGATAACTTTAATGACGCGTATCCTTAACAATTGATCATCCGCGCTGGAGAAACTCTGAAATGTATATAAAAACGGCTCAAATGAGGTTATCTCTTCTACTTATAACACTCGAATAAAACAATAAAACGTTATTAAATCAATAAAACGTCATAAATTAATCAAAACATAAATCATATTAAAATATCATTCTTACGTTTGTCAAAATCAAAGGTATGTAGACCCGAATGGTCATGATTCGGAGAATCGCCTATGGCCTGCTTTGCAATAGACTACTTGTATCTCATTGTATTATAAATGAACCACCAGGCTGACTGATATTATTTTTAGATGACGCCACTGAATTTTTCGAAGCTCTCTCAAAAATGCCATTAGAGAGTTATTTTATTTTGATCCCTATATTTATCCTCATCGTGGCATTGATATTTGGAGAAAAACTATTTATATACCTATTCATTGTCATCATATGCTTCGTTTTCTATATTTTCAAACAACAAATCGATATGGAACTCAAATTATTAAAAGAGAAACGAAAAAACGAATCTAACGAAATCTATAATAAGATAGATGATCTTACCGAAAGAATTTCTTTGTTTTATGAAGAGTTCCAACAACAAAGATTTCAGGAGGATGATACGTTAAATAGTAATCTTTCGAATAATAATTCAAGAAATTTTTCAAGTAGTTCTCGAGGTAAGATTATTTCAACGTATAAATATCTGTTACTCTGAGAGACTCATAGAAGGCTCGAAGAGCCATTGCTTTGCAATAAATTAATATTTTTGTATCGTATTAGTTTCAAGACGCACTTCGTTTTCAGATCCACTTTTTCCGAAATTTAAAAACCTTTTTGACGAGACCATGCGAGAAAACGATTATTCTAAAGCCGATATGATTGCTGAAGTTGCAAGCGATCTTCGAAAGGAGAAAAAGATCAAAGTTATTTCGAACTAGAAGAAAAAATAAATCCGCATCTGGCAATAATAATATCAATGAAGAAGTTAGCGACGACAATAGTGGTGATGGGAAGATAAATTATGATGATAATAATAAATAGTTTTCAATCTGGTAGAGCCAAAGTATAGGGGCGTACATTGAATGGTCTAGGGGCCGTACGTTCTCTCCCTTGCAACTCTACCGTAAGAAAACAAATATGTACCTCCACTATTATTTATTATTATTATTATTATCCATGTATCTTTATTTTACCTGAAAAATCAATTGCGTAATACATATCACATACCACAGAATAAATTAGAAGGTCATGGAAATTCTACATGCATGATGTAATCGTACAACCTTCTGATTGTTACTATATACACATAATATTTGTACCCATTTTCCTGATGTTGTATCTTGGAATAATGCATCTTCTCCAGTCTGGAACCTTTTCTCCCCTATTTTTAGCATATTTTCCAGATTTAATAGCTTAGGGGCCGTACGTTCTCTCCCTTGCAACTCTACCGTAAGAAAACAAATATGTACCTCCACTATTATTTATTATTATTATTATTATCCATGTATCTTTATTTTACCTGAAAAATCAATTGCGTAATACATATCACATACCACAGAATAAATTAGAAGGTCATGGAAATTCTACATGCATGATGTAATCGTACAACCTTCTGATTGTTACTATATACACATAATATTTGTACCCATTTTCCTGATGTTGTATCTTGGAATAATGCATCTTCTCCAGTCTGGAACCTTTTCTCCCCTATTTTTAGCATATTTTCCAGATTTAATAGCTTTAGCTCTTGTTTTCTTTTGAGTTAAAGCTTCTTCTGATAAATGCAGTGTTTTTACCTCTACGTACTCTACTATTTCCTGCACCTCTAGAAGCTCTCCTGCATCAAATGGGTCCTTGTTATTGTTTAAGAAATTTGCTATTGCTTGTTTTATATATGTAAACATTTTCGTTGTTTTTTATATACTATCATGTTATCTTTAATTGGAAAATTTTATTCCTTTATCAATTTTATTGTAATTATTTGTTTGTCTATTTAGCTTCTGATAGGATTTCAGAAATGATATTGGTTGTTGTTTTTGGAAGATATCTGAAATTGATTAATGGATATCAAGGAGCTTGAATGATGTAAAATGGTATCAAAAATGTATCAAAAATCGACAAAAAATTTGCCATTGTGTCAGAACCCTCAAAATTGTATAACACCTCCATGGTAAATCCAATAAGAAATCTTATATACTCAATAACATTAGAAACCTTTATATTATAAAGAATTTTAATAAAATACTTATTATTAACAAAATTAAGATTTCTGAAATCATTTTCGTATTTTAATCAGATCTGCAGTTTTTTCTTGTTCTGGCATATTCAGAGTTTTGCATTTAGGGATTTTGACAATTAGCAGAGTTTCAGAAGGTACACATTAATTGTTTATTAGAGTTTCGGCAGTCATTAAGAGGTTTCAGCAAGAAACCTTATTTCTGACAGGCATTCATACAAGCTACAATATATCTCAGCTTGCCAAGCTCTTTCAAGTATCTCCCTACCATCCTTTGAACAACTAAAACCTCTGTTTAAAACTTTTGGATTTAGTTTAGAAAGAACTAATTATGCAAAGAAATTATTATCAAATGATTCCCATCATTTTCATCACTATTAATAATATTTTCGGATGTTGTTGATGTTGATGTTGTTTGTATTGACTCATTTCATAATTAAATAAAAGAAAAAAATTTTTTTAAAATTTATTGTTTTCAGTAAAAAAAAAAACTGCATATGAAAATACAAAGTGGGTCAGTGTATTGTTAGTAAACAACTGAAAGCACACTAAGTGGGTCAGTTCTTAGTATACTGAAGGTACAAAATGTATTCATATGCCATTGTTAAGAAGCATTATATATACACCTTAGCAAAAGTTTCAGACACCCCAAATACATTAATTACACAAAAATGTACATAATAATTATGCGAAAAATTTTATATTATTTGGATCCTAGTATTCATGTGTTTAAATCTAAAATTTTAGATTCTCAGCTTTTATACAGCTCAAATAATAATAAAAAAACAAACTCCGATCATTTTTGAAAAGAAAAAAATATAATATAATTTTACTATTAAAAATGATTTTAAAATTTTATCAAATCTTTAAAAAATTGATTAAAAAAATACTATCCAAAGTTATGTAAAAATTTTTTTCTCAAGAATCAGATAAAATTAAACCATCATATCTGAAAATTCTATATTCATAATCTTTGAAAGCTAAGCTATAAACTAACATAAATTTTCTGTACAATTATTATGTATGTTTTTGTGTAAATGATGTATTTAGGGTGTACATACATTTTTATGCATCCCAGCTACCCTTCTATTATTTCATCCTTGTCATTTCATTCAATTCTCAGTGATAATTTTATATATTAAAATTTATATATCTAACAAAAAGAATCAAAGTTCAATTCATCAGGTGTTTCTATGAAATAGTTCTTAATAAATGTTTCAATATTCATTTTTATATGCTTCGATTTAAAATGGCCATAAAACATAGTTTTGATATAGTGATAGACAGAAAAGTAAAATGTTTTCATATCACACAAATATGGAGCCTGTTCAATAGAAACAAGGAATGTTGGAAAAATCAAGATTTTGAGTTAATAACACTTCTATATGTAATTCACTACAAGTATTAATTGTAGCTTAAAAACCATACCATTAAAGTAGGGTTGTGTTGGTCCAGTCCAGTCTGGTCTCGGTCCCAAAAGACTGGTCTTTTTTTGAAAGACCGAAGGACCGGTCTTTAGATTCGGTCTTTGGGACTGGTTAAAGATTGTTTAAAGGATTTTGATGTGAATCACATATTGCAAAGTGGCTTTTTGGTTGATTTTGATTATCTTACATTTTATGACCAGGTTCAAATTAACTTTTTACACTCATCAATTATTTTATTTTACAAATTTATC